CAATTTAACTGTCTCTATCCACCTCCACTCACTACCTAAGACCATTAATTCTGGAGTTTTCTGAGGTGTAACGGGGGTCAAAGAAGCAAGAGCAGAAATGAATAGGAGAGTCAAAAGACATGAAAGAGCCAAGATTTTTTGAGAAAAGCAGTGATTCCTCATTTGATAGCTTCCAGGGGTGGATACAGAATGCCTAGATTGGGTATGTGATTTAAACAGAAGCTGCTTTTTGGGAGTAACAGGAAAGAGAAGCATAAGGAACATAAGACGATGACTAGAATCTAAATTTTTAAAGCTCCAAGATTTCAACAGAATGTGGATATATTTGAATTTTAAGAAAGGATGGTGTTTAATAAGGGTGAGACCAGGACATATGAGACTTGGGAATTCCCACAACCCCTAAGTGCTTCCTGCTCCAGGAAGAAACCATTCATGTGTTTATTGGAGGTCATACCATTTTCCCCTATTACTGATGCAAAAGAATTCATCATCTCCCCAAAGCTTCTTTTCAAACCACGATTTTCCCACTTATTTTGGTCATCAAGCAGTCCTATTCGTTAGTGGCCTGCAGACTCATTCCCAGCTACCCCCCTGGGGGGTAAAAATGAAGGAATTCCTCCTAGGCTGGCCCCAGTAACTCAGAATTAAATAAGAGGAGGGGCTGGAAGCCTCCTGGAGACTAAAAGAACTTGAGGCTAAACCTACCTTACCAAGGATGGAGAATTTATTCAGATAATGTTTGACAATTCATATATGCCACATCAGGATAGTAAGAATTAAAGGTAGAAATCTCACTCTTCCTCATACCTGCCCTACTGCCCAACCAGATTCCAGACATTGCATCACCGTCATTGCCATTTTGCTAAACGGAGGCCTCTAGGCACTAATCACACAGGCAACTGCGTGTGTCATAAAAATGCACAACTTTTCCGTTAAAATGTCTCTTTCTCTCTGGCTACGTTGGTGATTCTCCAGTTAGTTCAATACTTTAAAGGCTGCAGCAGCATGCAAAAGAATTTCATTTCATTTCATTTCTTAAAAAAAAAGTTAAGAAAGGTCTCCAGGAGATGGTGAGTTTTATTGTGTCTTGTCTGGATAGAAGTTTGTTTTACTCTCGAATATTCCAGGGTAGAGAGAGACTTGGAGAAAGCACAGGATGTAGAGGTCTATTCGGTGTAATCTTCTCCCTCATTTTCATCTTCACCGTCAATGGAGAGAGCAGCATACTTGCTTGCAGAACTGAACTTCTATAATAGATGAGAGTGATAAAATGACCATGGCCTTGAATTCTCACATCAAAATCCAAGAAACAGGATACGGACACTTTGGTAAATGGGGGATGATAGTCCAGACCACACCCACTTGCTTGCTCATTAGCATTTTCCACTGGAGAGTAGCTAGGGAGAGCTGTCAGAAGCACGTGTGTTCTTATCGAGGTCATAACACCTTTTATCTTGAAAAAGGGATGAGAGTAGTGAAAGGTATAAACAGAAAAATGCTAATCTAAGCCACTTTCACTATTTCAAATAAGCAGCAGTGCCTTATTTCCAACCACTCTGTTGCAGCCTTAAATAAAAGGGAGTTCAACAGCAAAAGCAAGCTGAGGGAAGTTGAGAACAAGCCTTTGACACTTACAGAGGCTGGATTTTCTTCAGGTTTCTTTGGCTCAGGTGCAGATCTGGAGTCTTGATCCTTTTTGCCATCACTGAGATGTGAGCATAAAACCACATCTTTAGGAAAGGACTCTCCCAGCAACCGCAAACAGTTCTGAGGCACTCAAAAGGCACCTCCAGTCAACAATCCTTGCTATCTGGACATTTTGTTATTTCTAGACTCTCAGAATTGTAACTGTCTATATTGGTTGATTTTAGTTTGTTCACAGTAGGAGATCTGGCAATACTTGGAGAACAAAGAACTTAATTACAAAGACACTTGTGTCTAGTATCAAATGAAACATTACAAATAATGAGAGAACATCCATACCTATCTGACTCCTTCCAGTGGTCTTTATTCCCTCCATCTCCTGGACCACGGCTGGAGTTCCCACTTTGGCCTTTTGGAACACTCACCCCATCCACTTTGTTTTCATCTGCTTGAGTGGAGATACAAAAAAAAAAAGAAGGCAGGTAAAAGAATTACTCTTCCTCTCCTAGGTTTCAACTGGAGAAAAAGGTACTCATGTACTGAGGGAAATTAAACCTCACTGCAATCCAGACTTCCTTCCTAAGCCCTTCTTCCCACATCTTCTATATCGCACATACCCACCCAGACATCCACCAAATGAGATTCACTGAAAAGTTCTACTGTAGGGTTACACCATCATGAAAAGCAAACTGGCAATAAGGACTATGCCACTGTGTAGTGACCTTGGCCTTGCAGATGGTGACATTTCTAATTTAGAGTGAGCATGTTAATTTCCTTCCGATTCTTACTGCCCCCCCCCTCCCAGAAATGTTCTACCAGGA